GGTGTCCCTGCTTCCGTCGATTCCCGTCGAGCTCCTTTACGTGATTCTGCTGAAGTTCATCGCTGGGGTGTCTTCCTGTCGGGCGACCTGGGTGACTTCCACGGCTTCCTCTTCACAATTGGGCATCCTTCCTGGGGCGAAAGTTGCGGGTGACGCTCCCTTGCCTGAGAGTACGTGCTCGATCTCAAAGGTCTGCTGCTGGTGGACGTCCTCTTTTGCCTTGTTCTCCCCTTCGGCTCCTTGCTCTTCTACCTCTGCCTGTTGGAGGGTGACTTCTTCGTCGCCGTCTTCTCGCGCCTTTCCACATCCCTTGGGTGATCATCTTCTTCTACGATGGCTGATGACGAGGCTACTCAACTGGGTGAACATCCTGAGATGCAGGTCGAGAACGAAGGGGAGATCATTGGTTCTCCTACGGAACTGGCGGAGGACAGCGAGCCCGACGTCGATGTCGATGGGAGTGGTACTTCTGGGGTGAATTCGAGAAAGGTGAAGATTGAGAAAAAGCGGCGACGTGCAGCACGTAGTCGAGATGATGGTCTGCTACCACCCGTACCCGACGACACCGATGACGAGGACAGCCCTTCTAAGCGAGCCCTCCGCAGCGACGATCAACCTCGTTCATCACGCGAAATGAGAGAGCTTCTGACTGGACACCTCGCTGAGATGAAGCTGGCCTGGGGAACTTTCCAAGGCCGTCTCGACAAGGTTGAGGGTGAACAATCCAGAGCTGCGTTTGAGGTAACCAACTTGCAGACTCGCATGAGGGTTGCTGAAAAGGACGTCGTTCAGCAAAAACAACACCTTTCGAATCACGGCACCGCCCTTGAGAATTTGACCAACGAGGTGAAAAACATGAAGGTCAAGCTTGGGGAAATGGATGCGAAAATGTCTTCTTCCTCCGCTGGTGGAGGCCCGTCTGATGTTGCTGGGAGAGCTGATCCCTGGGCTGCTTATCTTCAACAACGTGCCCCTAATTCGGGACCACAAGAACGCAAGGATCCTTCACATGTTGGGGAGACTGACAAGGGGGACTTGCGGACTTGCTCTCGGCGGAGGATATGAGGACACTGGTCGTGGGAGGCTGGCTTCAGGACACCAAGCGCAGCATCATCGAGGAAGAGTCTGCAACAGTCCTGGGCATGGCCGAGCTGAAAGACCTCTTGGACTCTGAGAAGCTCATCATCTATGGGCCTCGGCGCTCTGTTGGCCTCCTGCGATTTGTCACACGACCCGAGGAGGAATTCAAGGACACCAAGAATCGCATGTGGGAAGTTGTGAAATTACTGGGACGCCTCAAACATGCCTTGCCAAGCACACGTGCCGCTGGGGAAGAGAAAACTCTTTGGGCGAGCTTCGTGAAGACAAAAAACGCCAGAGTGCGCAGCTCGCATGTCAGTATGGTTCGTCGCGTTGCCATCGCTCTTGCCAAAGATCATGGTCAAGGGGATGGGGCGAATTCATTGATCACATCCTACGACTGTGACTGGAACATGGGGACTCTGTGGAATGGCTCCGAGAAGCTTGGCAGCGCTACTCATCGACAACCCAAGGGAAGTGACGAGATCGTGTTGATGAGCGGCGGCTGGGTGAACGTTTCGGCGGTGGCTCGTGTTGCAGGATGTGCCACTGACGATTCGAAGAGCGCGTTCGAGCGCGAGCTGTGATCAACAGCTCATTGTTTCACTCAAGATGGCGAGACCCTCGCTTCTGGCTCTACTCCTCTTCCTCAGGAACAAGGGGTGCCACTCTCGCGTCCGTGTGCAACACGCAGATGGGGGAGAGTTTGTACTTGGAATTTGGGTGGACAACGAACATCGTTGCTCGATCTTGCATGCAAGGACTGTGATATCGTGTTTTGTCAAGAAGTTGCTCGAGGTGATGTTGGTTGGAACACGGAAGAGAGTGATGATTTTTATTGGGTGACACACCGCCATGATGATCAATGGCGTGGAGCTGGCATTGGCATTGCCTTGGACAAGTTCGATTCCATCCTGCATAAGGTTGCTGGTGTACGTGGATTCTGGGTGGTGGCTCGTCTCGTTGGTATTGGTCGCGTTGTCCTGGGATCACTTCACTGCCACACTGGGACCACCAATGCTGTATACCAGGCTGCTGTTCATGAATTCTGTCGGCTGTGTCCGCGCAAGTATCGTCATCTGCCGCTACTTTGTGGTGCAGACGCAAATGAGCAGACTTCGTGGGACGAGAATGACGCTACAGGCAAACGTCGCGTTGGCACATGCTCGTCTAACCTCAACGCGCTGATCCACGACCTCTTGCAGCATGGGGTTGAAGCCATTGCACCCACAACTGCGCATCTCCACACCCCTACACATTATCCCAGGGATGAATCTCGTACAGGCAGACAGATCGACGTCCTCCTCTCCAGGCACCTCTATGTGACCCCGCTCCTCATCGATCCTGATCGCAGACATGTTATCGGTAGTGACCACGCTATCGTCATGGGTGACATCATGGTTGCCTCTGGTCCCTCCAGCGTTCGCTGGGGAAATGACTCCCGTGCTAGGTGGGTCGTTAGGGATATTCCTGCAACTGAGATTGTGGATGAGGATGACTTGATCGAGCTTGCTCGCACCTGCACGCGACCTCGGCAGACCTCAAAATATAGAGACCCCGATGGCATTAAAGATGCTATTGCACAAGCACGTGCTAGTGGCCTCCCTGCTGACTGGAAGTCTGTCCATCGCATGCGCCGCCAAGCCCGGAGGAAATGGTCAGAAGATCGTCTCGCTGCCATCGTCAAGGGTGACTGGGATCAGTACCGTCTTCTACAGAATGAGAAAAAACGTAGATGCGGCTGGTGGGGTTCTTTGTTGGCCAATCGGCGCTCCTCCGACCTTGCAGGTGAGATCAAATGTCATCTCGAAAGCAAAATGACGAACCCCGAACGCCCGGCGGCAGTCTGGGAGGCTCAGCTTGGTGAGCTGATTCGTGACTGCAATGATGGGGGTGAGTTTCGCCCGTTTGTGCTCCTGGATGTCCGTACGGAATTGCAAGCGATGAAATGTCGCAGCGCGGTTGGGCCGGATGGTGTGGGTGTACATCTTCTACGGGTGCTTGCTAGCCATGACTTGCATGGACCGCAACTACTTTCCCTCATCAACCACATAGTTGAGACGAGACAACTGCCTGGCAGCTGGGAGACTAGCTTCCTCGCGCTCCTTGCTAAGATCAAGTTGCCCGAAAGCCCCGCTGATTTGCGACCTATTTGTGTATCATCCGCGTTCCACAAGCTGGTCAATCGCTTGGTCTGCGCAAGGGCACTTCCGATCATGCGTCGTGGATCGAAAGTGTCCTGCTGCGGCAAGGGACGTCAAGCTGCTGATCTTCTTGGCACAGTCACGCGTCTGCGGGATGTCACAAAAGAGTGGCGACACCCACTTTTACTTTGCAAGCTGGACGTTGCGGGTGCCTTTGACAGGGTTAACCGTGCCAAAGTTGCAGATCTTCTAGTCCGTCGCCTTTCTGGACGTGGGGTGAGCTTTGAACTACGATATCTTTTGGCTCAACTTGCTGTGCACAAGCTGGTCGGCAATGCCCCAGGCGGTCGTCTCATTCAGCTCGCTCCTGATGAAGGGATCAAGCAAGGGGCGCCTGAGAGTGCCGAACTGTTCGGTCTTGTTGTAGATGCTCTCCTGTCTGACCTTGTCCACTGCAGCCAATGGAAGAGTCTTGGCTCGCCTCTTGAGGAATGCGACATTGACTTGCTGTTCTATCAGGATGATGTGTTCCTCGTTGAGACCTCACTCAGTCGGCTCTGCAAACGAGTCTGCGCTGTTGATCGTTGCCTCCAGGGTGCAGGCCTGTGTCTGGCGACTTCTAAGACCAAGATTGTTGCCAACGATCACTACACTGGTGCCCGTGCAGCGCAAATTGGGGAGAAATTTTTCCGGATTGCGCCCAGGGGTGAGTCGCTCAAGGTTCTTGGCATTTCCTTCTCGCTTTCCCACGACGCTTCCGAGCAAGCTAGAGAACTCACCTCTAGAGCCCGCGGGGCCGCTGCTGCGCACAAAGACATTTTGCAGGCTCATGGTCCCTGGCTGAGCAAGATTGCCATCATCCGCACGCTGGTCGAAGCCCAGTTCAACTGGACCGCTGGGGCTCTTTTCTGGCGTAGGGAGGACCTTCACAACTTGAACGTACTACAGCAACACATCTGTCGATCTGCTTTCCAGCTACGTAGAGCTCCTGATGAAGACTGGGTACAGTGGAACCAGAGAACGCTTCGTTTTGTTCGAGTATGGCTCTTGCATAATGGGGTGAAGAGATGGTCCGAACGTGTGCTTTGTCTTCAACATACTCTCCATGGCCATTGGGCGCGTCGTTGTGAGACTGTCCGTGGAATTCCTCGTGCTTGCCCTGCGATGCGAGCGCTTCAGTGGAGATCTACGTCTTGGTGGAGACACCAACAGTCCCTGAGCAGACGGTGTTCGATTCGTCATCCTTGTCATTTCTTTGCTTCCAACACGGAGCGGCAACTAGCTGACAGCCACGGGCCACTTTGGTACGTCACGGCTCAAGACAGAAACGCCTGGTCTGCCGTTCGAGAAAAGTATATTGCCGAATGGGACACGAGATGGACTCGTGGACGTCAGCTTTCGATTCGCTACTAAAGACGGCTCCTTCGAGGGCCAGTGTTCCGTTGGGTGTCCTCTGCCTGGGCTCGGTTACGACATGTTGAAACTTCTCTCAGGTTGAATTGTTGATGACCGCGCTTGGACGGGATGCACTCTTCCTTGGCCATGTCACACAGTGCTTTCGACCTGTCGAAGGCGTCATTCAGCTGTTCTTGATCTAGGATGACTTTCTTGTGTACTTCTCTGTCTTTGTTTGACTTGAATGAGCACTCCACGTACTTCTTGAACTGCTTCTGGGCACATAGACATCAACAACACCTCTCCTGTCCTACTTCGTCTTGGCTCGAGGCGTGTTCGACAACCACACGAAGCCCTCGCCTCCTTGCACCTCTGCGCGACATGGGGTGGCTTTCTCCTTTTGGACTTTTGCTCTTCGTGGCGCTGGTGGCCTCTGGGACGCCTGATGAAGAGAATGAACAGGACCGGCAACCCTACTGGCGATGCTGGACCGCTGAGGAGATTGCGGAATACACCGCTGCCGCGTGGGGTGATGACCCGTGGTCCGCTCCCCCTCAACCGACTTGGGAGACCCCGGCAGCATCAACCTCGAGCAGCTCGTCGTCATGGTGCCCGTTGCCTTTGACGCCCACTTTCTCTTCAACAGGGACAAGCTCCGGTGTCAGCGACTCCTCGGGGGGTCCAACCACTCAATGGGATCTGGATATCAGCTGGGCTGTCCAACGTGATGAACTTCGAGCCCCTACTGTACATGGCGGCTACTTGGACCTCCCGCCTATTCCGGAGGACATACCGATTCCCTTTGGGAGTCAGCCGCCCGAAAGTGAGGAGCTCACCGTGAACGGAGAGGGGCATGAATATCCTGGAAGAGTGGATGACTCCTGGGGTGACCTCCCCAATCCTTCCTCGTCATCTATGTCTTCTTCATCGTTGCCGAGCTCTTCGACATCTGCCAGACCCTGGTCCTCTACTCCTTCCTCGTCGTCTGCACCTACCTCGCACGCCTTGCCGAGTTCCTCGACTTCTTCGCTGCCGAGTTCCTCTACCCCCTCCTCCTCCAACGGTGACGACTGGCTCGCGAAAGTCATCGACACGAGAGGACTTAGAGGAGGACATCGTATGCTTGGACGTGATCCTGCCACTCTCCTTCGAGGACCCGCCCAGGCACGTGCTGACGAGGACGTCAACCCGCATGCGTCAGCCAGTGCACCCGCCAGGGATATTCCACTCATTGGGATGACATCTCGTGAAGGCCGTGAGCGTGGAGGAGTTGATCGATGGCATCATGCTGACGGGTCTGTTCGTTGTCGCCTTCGTGAACGTCTTGAAGCAGAAGCCCGCGCACGGGTTGAAGACCATCCGCCTCCTCCTGCTGTGGACCCTCATGATGCCGATGCTCAATGTCCTGTTGGAACTCCAGAAGAAATCGGCAACCCGGAACCCTCTGCGTTTGAAGTCACTGGGGGTGACGTGCACGATGATGGGGAACGCACCGTCAAGGCTGTTACCTTTTATGGTGATCGCTTTCAGGTTAGGGCCGGGGTGTCTTCACGCGGACAATCAAACACCTCCACCTCGGCGGGGAGCTCCAGATTTGGGACGGATGAAGGGGATTCATGCCAGAACTCTTCCTCTTCCAGTTCGTGTCCGTCGGCACCTGGCTTCTGGCGACATGGTGTCTGGCACCCTCGTGCTCGCTCTGAAGCCGAGATGAGAGCTCACCGAGGCGGCATGGGGCCCAAAAGACAGGCTAGAAAAGCTGCTCGCATGAAGGCCTATGCTGAAGGCACATGGCGCCCTGTCTGGCTTCTGGACTATGTCAAGGGCAAACAAGCACGTGATGAACTACGCACCCGCGACTCTGCGACCGTGTTAGCTGACATGGACCCGAAAGCTCTAGCGGTCTTCCTTGGACACCAGACTGGTGCTGAGTCTGATGTACCTGAGCCGGCTCTTTCAGCTCGGCAACATGCGGCCAACATCGCCACCGAGCCGGACCCTTGGGCCAATCATGAATGGCACACTTCATGGTGGTCGTTCTCCGTGCAAAACCAGTCTGAGGAGCCTGCTGACTCCTCCACTCAGTGGTCTGGGAATGGTGCCTGGGGTGAAAATAACTGGTATTCTTGGGATGCTTCATCGTCGACGTGGTCGTGGAATTGGTCGTCCTGGAGCTCTTCTACCTCTACGACATCCTCCTCTACATGGCCGAGCCTCTTGCCCAACGAAGGATTGTTGCCCACAGTACGACCAGCTGAGCCAGACACCGTTATGTTGATGCAGATGACTGGAGCAGAACGAGCCTCTCTTCAAGAAGCCGGTGTCAATCGTGCTGGTGTAGATAGCATCGAACAACTTCTCGAGACACTTGATCGAGAGAATGATCGCGACAATGGGCCGGAGTCTCGATGGGCGATAGCATGCTTGGTCCGGCGACTTGAGGATGGGCTCGCTTGTCTTGAAGCTCTACACCTGGTGCTCGTACGACGCCTCCAAGCACGTGGCTACCTGCCAATACAACGTGTACCGCGACCGCAGTTGGCACAATATCAATTGTTCAACTGGGTACGTGGGTATGTCCCCGTGTTTGTGGAGCACCTCGAGCGACACATGCGTGCGGGACTGCAACCTGGAGAATGTAATCGAGAGGCTGGGGAGGACGGTGATGCCGGCCAACACGTCCCGTCTCTCTCGGACCTGGCAGGTTCCTCCACTGATGTTTCCAACTCTCATCGCAGTGTTGAGCCCAGTGCGGGAACTTCTCATAGTCGGCCTTCCCGCTCGCGCAGCCGGTCCAGAGCTTCCTCAAGCAACGAAGCTCCTTCCCAGAGTGGATCTTCACGTGGCTCCGGAGATGCTGGTGCTCTGCCTGAGGTTGGAGACACAATGGGGGATGCTGGCAGTGGTCCCTCAACTCGTCGGATGTCACATGAAGAAGAACGTGCCCTTGAAGGGGAGCTTCTTGGAATCTGGCGTGAACAGCATGCGACAGACATTCCTACGAGCATGAGCTCCACAACCTCTACGTCGACTACCTGCTCCTCGCTGTCTCCTACCGTTTGGTTACATGTGTCGGATGCTGAAGAACATGGTGACACTGGTAGTGGGGGTGACTTCGTGGAACTCCTACAACTGGTTACGTGGACTACTTCAACTTCGACGAGCTTGGTTTCTCCGGAAATTGGGGGGTTCTGCGACAATGAGCCATGGCTGACTTCCCCCTGCTGGCCATCAACTACATCGACGACGTCCTCATCTGCGCCGCTGATGCCCTCCGAGGTGATTCGCGATGCCGTCAACAGAGAACTAGTACACGCAACGAGCGCAGATGTGGTCGAGCTTCTACACCGTCTCATCGCGCGACAACGTCGTCTACAGCATTTGGCGCGGCTAACGGGTATTGCCATCGAGGAGACGCTCACTTGGATCCAGGTCCCTGCGGGGGCTCTTGCGTTCAATGCCCCGTCTATGGAACAAACACTCTGGAGCCACATCAACCATGAGGCCCAGTACGCGGATAGACCCAGTTCGTCCGGAACCACACAGGTCACGGGACAAGCAGCTGCACTTCTTCAACCTGGCTTCCCACCCACTCTTGAGGCGCTTTGGCAGAGTCTTCCCCAGTTCTCTCCGCACACTGTGGTGGGACTCAGGAGGCGAAGCTGGCGACATCATGCTCGAGCTCTCCATGCCCAAAATGGAAGTCCACTACCTGGGGGATTATGGCCTTCGGAAGACGATCAAGACTTGTATCTCATACAAGTTGATGAGTCTTCACAGGTTGAGAACATGCCAGCGTTCACCTCGCCTCGTCCTCTTCCAGCACGATATCGTGTTCGTCATCGGCGTCGTGCGCTCCAGCCTCGCCCGCCTCCAGTATTATGCCCCACGGCTACGTTGGGTGAGTTAGTGGCTGCCACACCCTTTGAAGAACTACCGCGTGGTCGTGCCCGTCCAGAACGCAGTCGCAGCCGTGATCCTGCTCCAGAACGTGTTGATCCAGCTCCTCCCAACGATTCTGCGCACCGTGAACTTGATGCTGAAGCTCGAGGTGCTGGACGAGGTGCAGGTTCTGATTCTGCGGAAGAAGAATGCTGGGACGCACGAGGTCAGGAAGTCGTTTCGATGGTGCCTGCTGAAGTCCCCTCGTTCAGCTCGATGGTGCCCTGGAGGTGTCTGCTGTCCCCGACAATGTTTCCTCGGAAGATGAGTCGTCTGATGAAAGCATAGTGAATGTCACTCGTCGATGATCGTCTGGTCGCCCGTGAAGTACTGAGTGCTTTTCTGTTCGATGGTCACTGAATTGGTGATTGTCATGGCGTGTAGGCCGACTGCTGGCAGACGGAAAAGTCACTACACATTAAAAAAAAAAACCCTAAACCCTAAACCCCTAAACCCTAAACCCCTAAACCCTAAACCCTAAACGCCTAAACCCTAAACCCTTATAAACCCTTATAAACCCTAAACCCGTAAACCCTAAACGCCTAAACCCTAAACCCTTATAATGAAACCCTATAAACCTTGATAAGTACACCCTAAGCCTTAAACCCCCCTCCCCCCGAGGCCCCGCCAAAGTAGCAGTCGAAAGCTCAGGGCACGCTCGCCACCTGGAAGCGCTGCCATCCGAGCCGGAGGCGGAGGTGGGGTCCCCCGAAAAGGTCCAAGTACCTAAGGGTATAGGGTCCCTTTAAGGGTACTATAAGGGTCCCTTTGTGTACTATAAGGGTACCTTTCAGGGTGCTATATGGGAGTTTCAGAAACTTAGGGGTGAAACTCCCCATATTCGGGTCCAAGTACCTACGACTTAGAGCTCCTTAAACGGGTTCTTTAAAATGCTCTTTAAGAGGCTCCTGTAAGGGATCTATATGGCTCTAGGTTTAGGTCCAAGTACCTTAGGGCTACCCAATCCCGACAAAGGAGCCCTTGTCTATTCCTAGGTCACGGTACCAGGTTCCTGAGTAGTGCCCTTTTGCCCCTTTTATTTCCCCAGGTACTTGAACCCTTAGGGTTTTCGGGTCCCCTTATTAAATTAAAGCCGGATACTAGGAAACAGGGTGCCCGTGTTATGTGAAGGAGCTGCTCAGAAACTTAGAATGCTATACCATCCCAATGGCTCACATTATGGTCCTATAAGGGTACTATAAGGGTGGTACAAGGGTTCTGTAAGGGTTTAGGGTTTAGGGTCTAAGGGTATGTATATATATATATATATATGCTACCGCTATGGAATTAGGTCCCGAAAGACCATCCATATTGTTGTTTTTGCGGCCTAATTCCCATACTGGGCTCTAAACCCGAAGCCCTTAACTTTTAAACTCCCTGAACCATAAGCCCAGCCTAAAAGCTCCAAACCAGGGTTTCTCAATATCCTTATGTCCTTATAATCATGATTGCTAAGGCCTCTAAATTACCGCAAGAAGAGCTCATTGAAAACAGCACCCTGAAAGTCACCAAACCCATTTAAACCTGCTATAAACATCCCAAAAAACCTAGTTAAAAACCCTCCAAACCCCTAAAAGCACACTATAAAAACCCCATAACAAGGGTTTCGGTTGCACATGCCGAAGGCAGCCGTGGACGTTTTGCTCTGCTCGGGCGAGGTGGGGCCATGTTTGGGCAGGGTTCAGGCTTTCCAACTTCAGGGTTCGGAGCCGGCTTAGGTTGAAGTTTCAGGTGTATGCATATATACATACATATATACATACATATGTATATATATATATATATGCATACATACGTACACACACATACATACATATACACACATAGGGTCTAGGTTTCGGGACCTCAGGCTTTTCTGGGCTGCTTTTTTCAAATCCGCCCTATATGAGGCCTTAAGTAGCTTACATCCGGATGTGTGTAGAGTTCACGGTGGGGTTTCCATTCAGCCTAAGCCCTAAGCCTGAATCGTAAACGCTGATCCTTAATTCCAACGCAAAGGTCTTCAGCTTGACTATCGGTGTTGGGATTTTCGGCGTGATTCAAGGCTTTACACTTAGGAGTTCATGGCTTTGGGTTTCAGGCCTGCAGAGTGTGAAGGTCAAAGACGTAAACCCTGAACCCTAAACTACACCCTGAAGCGACATAATGGCCCGAGAGCTCAGGAGCATCTGGAACCCTGCAGCCACCCAGACCTTCCAAGCTCCCTTCATTAAGGAACATACCGTAAATTATGGGTCTTAGCATGTCCAGCTCATTAAATCTCAGCACTCTGTCCCACAAACACAGGACCAAATGAGCCGCATTCTGTCTTCAACAGTACTCATTAGCAGTTCTACGCAGTCTTGTTCGATGGCGGTTTCTTTGGGCAAAGGGTGTTAGCATCCTTCACCAGGTTTTGCAGATGTTTGTGTGGATCATGACTAAGGGCTTCTGTAAAGGTGCAGGCAGGATAGACTAGCTCAGCCGATTCTGTAAAATGGTATACCCGGTAAAACCTGTCCTTGGAGAGGGTGTAAGGCAGTTTGCAGTGCAAAGCTTCGTGATACATTTGTGGTTTAGGACTTGAATATTCCGCTTGTTGTAGCGCTGGTTGGTGCATGGGCACTTTGGCTTCTGCGGCCGTGCGTGCTGCTTCTTGGACTAAACCCTACACCCTTACTATAGAAGCCTAAACATCTACCAGTATTTTTGTTAGGGTAGCGATCTATCTTATAATATACTTTCAAGGAGCCCAAAACCCTATTCTAATTATTAACCCTAAACCCCTAAACCCTAAACTTATTGAGGCCCTACACTACATGTTCTGTTGATCGGGCTAGAAGCTGGGAAGGCTGTGATCAACTCATCAGGACTTTTCAATTCTTCATAGAGAACGCACAACCCTAGGCATCTAAGGACTCATACATTAAGGCTTGTGGGCCCAAAGACCATACTATATAAGGCTTTTGGGCTATGTTGATGCCAAGGGCAAGAGACCCTGGCGCTCTAGCAATTTAGGGTTCAGGGTTTAGGGCTTCGGGGCTGCATAGGGCACGTGCCATGCATTACGTGCCCCCGATTTTGTGTTTTTGGTCGTGTTGAAACCTGACTAAGAAACCCTGGCTCTATAATCTACCTGTAGCCGAAAAGACCTACCTTTTAAGGAACTATATATAGAAACCATAATAAGGAACCCTAAGAAGGTAGGTCTTTTCGGCTACAGGTATATTATATTAGCGATCATGTCAACAAACCTAGTAAATACCCGGAGTCTCTGAATCACGTTTCTACATCAGGGCCCCAGTTTCTAGTCCGCCGAAGTCCTGCTAGGTGCACAAGGCACTGAGATTACCAGGCACGGTGGGATGAGGGCTTTGATTTCAGAGCTTTTAGGGTGTAGAGTTTGGGGTTACTTCCCTTGGGATCAAAATAGCCCAAACCTGTAGCCGAAAAGACCTACCTTTTAAGGAACTATATATAGAAACCATAATAAGGAACCCTAAAAAGGTAGGTCTTTTTGGCTACAGGTGGTCTTTGGGCCCAAAAGCCTTAATATATGAGTCTTCAGATCCCCAGGGTTTCGCCGTTTAATGTTCAGCCGAAGAGTTGCTGACTGGGCCGGCACTGCATGCTACTTGGAGGTCCATGGGACTTAAAGGGTTCCACAAGGGGCTCCTTGAAGGGTTCTATAAGGGATCTGTAGGGATGTAGGGCTTAGGGTCTACTTGGAGGTTCATGGGACTTACTAAGTAAGGTTATATGTACCCTAACTGGGATTATAATTAAGTATCAGTATAGTTACCTTGTTTATAACCCGAGCTACTAGGTCCCATGAACCTTTAAGTAGTGTCACCGGCAGAACTTTGAGACCGAACCCCAATAGGTCTGAACGTGGTCATTTCCCTTTGATGGCTCAGAGTTTAGAGGGCTTAGGGATTCTCTTATAAGGGTTCTTCTTTGGGGCTTAGGGTTTAGGGATGCCAGAGATGGAATCACATCAAGAGGCCTTGGTAGTTCCTATACTTGGAGGATCATGGGACTTAGTAAGTAGGGTTATAAGTAGGGTAACTATACTTATAACTCCAACTAGGGTACTTGTAACCTTACTTACCAAGTCCCATGATCCTCCAAGTACGCCTCAACCCCCGAGTCTTGAGACTTGAGAAGCTAAACCAGGCTCCGTCCCAATCCTAAGTTTAGAGTCGGCGGCTGCAGCCAGATGTCTACAGTATTCTGCGGGTGTAGAATGTTATGTAAAAAGAGGGGAGGAGAGAGAGGGAGAGAGAGAGAGAGAGAGAGAGAGAGAGATAGAGAGAGAGAGAGAGAGATATCGTGCGCACGGCTCCCCTTTAAAAGGTCTTACATCAAGGGCGATGTGCAGGCTCTGTGTGTAAAGCAACCTCAAGTCTTGAAGCTGCAAACCTTGAGCCTCTAGAACCCTAGACCCACGGGTCGAAGTAGCAAATAATCATATGGGAGTTTCCGAAAATTAGGGGTACCAAACCTTGGGGTCCTTATAACAAGGATCCTACTATTTAGGGTACTATCTTAGGGTCCCCTATTTTCGGAAACTCCCATATGATCTCCAAGATCCTAACCTACATAACTACTATCCTTTTTCATTGAGCCTTACAGAGGCCTTTATGAGCTCTGCAACACCCCTAAAGGACCCCTGAAAGGAACTCTCATAGAACCTGATAGATCCCTTTTGGCTCCCTAGAGGGAGCCCCCCCGAACCCTTAAAAGAAACGCCCCCTAAGCCCCTAAACCCTAACCCCTCAACCCTTAGAGGACTTAAGATTTCGGAGGCAGCAAGACGGTCGGCGAGCTGCTGACCATGGCAGGCCAAACCCGGACGGACCAGCAGAGTGGGGTGCCTTTAAGGGATCGAATTGGGCTCCATTAAGGGATCTATAAGGGTAGGGTTTAGGGTTTAGGGTTTCTGTTTAGAGTTTAGGGTTTCGGGGGTCGGTTCAGATTTTCGGGTTTAGTGTTTAGGGTTTAGGAATGTTGTTTTAGGGCTTAGGTTTTTGGATGTTTTTGGACTGAACTTGACACCACAACGCCTACTCGTACGAGGACTTACATGAGAAAATCATTATAAGGAGCCCTAACAGGGTTCAGTCTCACAGGAGACTTTTAACTTGGAGCCCGCGACCCTGGTAAAATTCACCTATGCTTGTGCGCCGAGCTAGACCTTGGTCAATGCAAGCCCTCGAAAACCTGCATATAACACCAAGGGTCCTTTGGCCCCAATAAGAATTAGGTATTCGGTTTTGGGATAGTAGCTATGTAGGTTAGGATGTTGGAGAGTATATGATTATTGGGTACTTGGACCCTTGGGGTAAGTGAAAGGTGATGTTCGCGCGTCCATGTTTAGTAGGATGACCATAGCTCGAAACCCTAAACCCTAAGCCCTAAACCCCTAAACCTTAAACCCTATTATAGACCCACCACAGGCGTTGAAGCGTCTCCTTGGCAGCCCTTCGCACCGAGCCCTGGAGCCCGCGATGCCACGGGCGCGAGGGCACCGCAGCTGCAAGGTTTGGACTTGGGGAGTTTGGTTTTGGAGTTGAGGTGGGTTATCGTTATTTAAACTAGAACCCAGAGTAGGCCCTTGTTCCCTTTTTTACGGTTCGGGTTACCTTATAAGCCCCTTTAATCCAAAAAGGGCACCCTTTTTGTTCCTAGGCTACTCTTGGGTCTAGTAAAGGGAGGTTTAGGATTGAGTTTGGGGTTTAGGATTTAGGTTTTGGGGAGTTTTGCTGTTTGAAGGGATGGTTTGGAGCACCGCAAGTTTTGACTTAGTGTTTAGGTTTCTGGGGCAACCCCCAAACACTACGTAGTTGAGGGGAGTCTAGAGGACTGGAAGGTAGTGTTTGAGATATTTACGACCTTTTGCTGTTTTTTTGTTCCAGTGTTTGCGGGTGTACAGCATGTTCAAGGGTTTCGTTGTCTTTTTGACACTTGGGTTTAGCGGCTTGGCTTCTGCTGCCAAGTCTTTATTAAACCCTAAACTCTAAACCCCAATAGATGAAGGGTTTCTTCCTGGTGTTCCGAGACTCGGGATGCAGAGATGTACCCATAGGCCCCATAGCAGGTTCTTTTGGGGATTACCTTAGAAGCTGCCCCCACCCTGTAATAGTGACTATAAGGATTATATTAGGGCCCTATTATATTCCTATGATACCACTATTACAGGGTAGGGGCAGCTTCTACGGATTACTTCATAATATTCTAAATATGAACCCCCAGAAGGAACTACTATGGGGCCTCAGAGTAGTTTAAGGTTACTAAAGGGCGTTTGGTTTTAATATGCTTGCTTTCTCATCAACTATCGGTTGAGGCAAAGGCTAAACAGTCGCGCAGGTTTTGGGATTTAGAGTTGTGAAGATTTTGGGATAATACAGACCCCACGTATTCCATGATCCATTCTAAGTTAGAAGGCACCTAAGTGAAGGACCCGCAGGTGCATGAGGCCCATGTAAACAAACCCTCATATGTGTAACTTAAGCAGGTTTCAGAGCTTCAGAATTCCCTTATAGGGTTTAGCGCTATGATGTTCTACATGGCTACCCTTGGATGCGTCCCAAAACATTTTTATTTACGGTGTCAGGTACGATAGCAAACTACGAGTACAAGGTCAGGTACGATAGCAAAGTACGATTACAAGATCTGGTAGGATAGCCAGATAAGACCAACTACGGGGTTCAGACGGCTATTGCGATACTGATACTGTGCCAGCGGCTTTCTTGCAATGCTATTAATTGGGGTGACGGAACCCGTGTCCAGGTCATAACGACTGACGGCTAAAGTTCTGCTCTCCAGGTCGTAGGCTCGTAGGCGTCAACTCTGGGTTTGGGACACCTGTGCCCGTCCAAGGCCACAGCCCTTTCATGAGGTTTTAGAAGTTCTGAAATCCTTTAGACTGTTGCCGATACCCTGTAAAACTGCGTCCTAACTTGAACTTCCAAGGCTAAAGTCCCAAGCTTGTCTCCACTGCTGCACTGTCCTAAGCCCGAAAGAGGGCAACGCTGTGTTGTTTATGAGGTAGGTTGCAGGGATGAAGGCAGCTAGGTAAGGTGGAATGTAGGTAGGCAGGACGGTAATGAGGCAGCCAAAAAGTCTCGTGACCATGAGTGTGGCAGGGGCCCGGATCGTACTTTGGGTACGGGGGCCGGCGCCAGATCGTATCTCCAAGTCCGCGACCGGCCCTGGATCGTATCTCCAAATCGTCCGCCCTGGATCGTATCTCCGGATCGTACTTTGGGTCCCGGGCCGGCCCCGGATCGTATCTCCGAATCGTACTTTTGCCTGGGTTTTGCTACAAGAATCGGAGATACCATCTGCTACAAAGTACGATCGGGTGGGGGTGGGGGGTGTGGGTGTGGGGGGTGGGTGTGGGGGTGTGGGGGTGTGGGGGTGTGGGGTGTGTGGGGGTGTGGGGGTGTGGGGGTGTGGGGGTGTGGGGGTGTGGGGGTGTGGGGGTGTGGGGGTGTGGGGGTGTGGGGGTGTGGGGGTGTGGGTGTGGTGGGGGTGTGGTGGGGGTGTGGGGTGTGGGTGTGGGGGTGTGAGGGTGTGGGGGTGTGGGGGTGTGGGGTGTGGGGGTGTGGGGGGGGTGTGGGGCTGTGGCTGCTCTCCCCTCCCCTCCCCTCCCCTCTCCTACTTGTATCGAGACGATGGTTCCGAAACGTGTTCCCTTGTTGCGTTTTTTTCATGGCTCCGAAACGTGTTCCTTTGTTGCGTGTTTTTCCATGGTTCCGAAACGTGTTCCCGCCCCCTAGGTTCCGCGACCATGTGGTTATGCCCATCTGAACAATCACTACTATGCCACAATCCGTACTTTGCGATCGCACTTTGGAGTACACTTGTGCCGGAACGTACCATGAACCGTAGATTGAGATCGTACCTTGGATCGCACTGTATCTTGGAATCGTATCTAGATCGTACATGAACCCATAAAAATAATTATTCTACGGTGCTACAAGAGTAGCTAGGAATCGAACATCATAAGTTTAGCGCGTGAGGATGAACTCGTGAGCGTGAGGGGCGTTTTACTGACTTTACCCTTTAGGGTTTCGGTTCTTTTTTCAGGGTTTAGGGTTTTGGCAAAAGCGATGTTAAGCTCAAAGCACTTGATCTCTTGCAAAAATCGGAGCCCCAAGACCCCAACCAAGCAGATGTAAACCGTTCATGGAAGACCCCTAAGCAAGTATGTACCCTTGGAAAGACAGATCCTCCCGGACCCTAAGGGCTCAAGTGTCGAACATCCGTATTTACACAGCGACTTGCTACCTTGCGCAATGCCAGTATCCTAGACCCGAATACCTAAATATGCACTTTCGACCCGTAAGGCAAAAATACAGCGCAGAAATTCTATACAACACCTTGAACCCTAAACCCTAATACACCCAAGACCCTTACAGTAGCTACGCTTCTAGTAATACAACACCTTGAAGCCTAAACCCATAAAAGCCATCAGCCCCTGGTCAAGCCTGGTAAGATCAGTACAAAGTGCAAACATGTAAAGCGCGTAAGTCTCCGCTTCTTCCTCAGGCTTTTCTTATACCCTGACTAAAGCCCTATAGCCCTAAACCCCAAAGGCCCTAAGCCCCTAAACCCCTAAACCCTAAACTCTCCGCTTCGTCGAGGTAGGCCATGAGGTGCCTCTGCACACTCTGACGAACCTCTCGGAGAAAAACCAGAGTCTGGACCCGAAAAGGGTCCTTGTTAAAGGAGCTTATAAAGGTCTTCTGGGGTGGTTGTCAATATTAGGGTCCCTTTTTGGGTCCTTATTATAATACAGCACCTAATATTTAAGGTACCCAAAAAGGGACCGTAATTTTGACAACCACCCTCTTCGGGTTTTTAGAGGATTTAGTTTGGTGTAAATTTACAGGTTCTGTAGGATTGCTTATGGGATCTTAGGGAATTCGCTTTGGGCTTGCGTATGGTCTCAAAGGGTTTTTATAGGTCGTAAGTTGCAGGTCATCTTGGCCATCATGTTTCTTTAGAGTTCCTTAATACATCTACTATGGTATACACCAAAACTCCGTTGTGTTTATGGCTGTCCCGGAATTTGTCTGTCATGTACAATAAAGGTCGGATGCTATGCCTTAAACATAATGGCAATGATAGTAACAATACCAGCTGTAGTGGTAGTTGCAATATGGGTAATATTGGCTTAGCAATCATAGTGGGCATATAAAAACATTAACATCAGTAGTAGCAGCAACAACAACAGCAGCAACAGCAACAGCAACAGCAACAGCAAGAGCAACAGCACCAGACCCAGCACCAGACCCAGACCCAGCACCAGCACCAGCACCAGCACCAGCACCAGCACCAGCACCAGCACCAGCACCAGCCAGCCGCCCAACCACCCACCCACCCACCCAGCCACCCACCCGCCCAGCCACCCGCCACCCAGCCACCCAGCCACCCAGCCCCAGCCACCCAGCTACCCAGCCCAGCCACCCTGCCAGCCACCGAGCCACCGAGCCACCCAGCCACCCAGCCACCCAGCCAGTTAGCCAGCCAGCCAGCCACCCACCCACCCAGCAGCAGCATCAGCAAAGATATGTGAGAGCAATGACAGTATTCAACAAAGGTATCGCTTGTCTACTAAGCGCCCAATAGTCCGCGCAAACCCTGGCCTGTGCTACACTTTGAACTCGAACGCCTAAACTCTCAAACAAACTCTAGAGTTCAAAGGGTTTGAGGGCTCGAAGTTTATGGAGTATGACTGTTTAGGGTTTAGGTAGGGTGATGTGTTGTTAAAGTCCCGACATGTGATAATTTGAATGTAAGCCCAACCCTTTTCCAAGCATGCAGTCCCCGCCAACTGTTCATCAGATAGTTACTGGTATATCGCAGACTCGACAACACAGAGTTCTGATTGTGGAGTCGGCAGCTGGCACTTGCATTGAACCATCTGCACAGTGCTGGGTTGAACCATGGCGACATCCCAAGTCTACTGCTCGTGGGAGCTTGCATCAAGCTGTCCCGGCTCACCCTTGCATTGCCAAAGGCCACCAGCTGGAGGTTCCAAGGTACGGGCAACTACAGGTGGCCGGAGTTGTGGCAGGCGACAGCTGGTCGGCGAGCTGTCGGATTGCTAAGCTTGAAATCGACCCTAAACCCTAAACTCCGAATACTCAAGCCTGAGCCCTACAACCCCTAAACCCTAAACCCTAAAAGCCCTAACCCCCAAACCCTAAACCCCTAAACCCTCAACCCTAAACCCTAAAAGCCCTAAATGCATACAGTGCAGGAGCTCCATGTTTTCCGTGAAAGTGCATTTCGATGACACAAAGGACCGCGGACATCTGGAAACCCGGTGACTTAGGGTTTAGGGTTTAGGGTTTAGGGTTGTTGGGGTTTAGGTTGTAGTAGATCTAATGTAGGAACCTGATTTAAGAAGGCTTGGGCCTCTACTAGGGTTCCTTAATTGAATTCTACGATTTTGGAGTTTTAGGCCCAGGCTTTCTTAATCAGGTTTCTACAATGTACGTCTACAGGAAACCCTTGTTCTAGTTTTTAATTTAGGTGCCCATGCCATGTGGATCTGTAAGCGCTTCCTGTGTGGGTTCTACACGATTCCTTGAAAGTCTCACACAGAATACAGAGTCTTTGAAACGCTGTAGGGCTTGCCAAAACGACCCGAAACTGCCTACACATTCCAAGGCAGGATGTCCATACGTATCCCCATGTTCTAGGATGCCCAGTAGTACCCTTATTCGCTTTTTGTAGTCCTAGGTTCCTTATAAAATTTCCAAATCCCAAAAAGGGGAGCCCGTTGTCTTCCTAGGTTACTGGGCATCCTAGTGTTTCCATGCTGTTGATGCTATAAATCCTGCATTACCTTGAGGACCCTAAACTATGGGAAATATGGTATATTCCTTATGTTTATGGGTAATGCAGGATTTATATCATCAACCATAACTAGGACCTGGAGTAGGCCCTTATTCCCTTTTTTAAGGGTTCAGATTCCCTTCTAAGCCCCTTCAAACCAAAAAGGGCACCCTTTTTTTCCTAGGTTACTCTTGGGTCTAGATAAGTATCCCCATGTTGGTGCTGAGGATCCTTGGGAAAGTGCTATGACCACTCATTTTGGGTTTTAGGGCTGAGGCCACCCTGAATTCTAACCCTAAGGCTCTGAGGACTCACATTTTAAAGCCTTTGGGCCTAAAGACCATATTATATGAGGCTTTAGGTCTTAGGGTAGCGTTAGGGCCCTCAGGCCCGAGACCATAAGCCGCTAAGCCGTCGGCTCTAGGGGTGTACGTAGGGTTTAGTACTGCAGTGTGGGTTTAGAGTTCACCCAGAGGCCCCATAGCAGTTCCTTTTTTGGATTACAGTGGAAGCCCAAAAGTTGGAAACCCATTAGCCTCACACCTTAAGAGTAATCTATAAGCAATCCCAGCACTAATTGTCCTTAATAGGGTTTCCAACTTTTTGGGGTTTACTGTACCTCATACGATTCTAAATATGAACCCCCAAAAAGGAACTACTATGGGGCCTTAGGGTAGGTGTCCTTAAGCTAACAGAACAGTTGGCAACTAGGTTGCAAACAAGCTTGCAATCAGGTAGGCAGAAACTCCAAAACCCATTAACTAAGGAAAATGCTAATTAAACCCTTTAAAAATGTATTTAAAATAATTGTAATTAAGTGATATTGAGCGGTTTCGGAGTCTCTGGGTAAACCCTGCCCTTTGAAAGCCTTAAACCCCAAACCCCAAAGTCCCCCAAAACACAGAACCCCAAAGTCGCCAAAGCCCTACTTGGAGGGTCTTTAGGGGACTTAGTAACTATATTAGGGGGTTCCTTTAAAGGGGTCCTTTCAAGGGATCTATAGGGATTCTATAAGGGTATAGGGTTTAGGATTTAGTGGGACTTAGTAACTGATTATTTAGGGACTTATAAGTACCATAACCCCAATTAGGGTCCCTTTTAGGGTACTTATAAGTCTACTTACTACCTACTTACTAAGTCCCCCGACCCTCCAAGTAAACCCTAACCCCTCGAAGTCCCAAAACCCTCCTTAAGGGTGAAGGTAGGGTTCAGATTGGCTCAGGGTTCAGGGCGGATAAGCTGTGCCGAGACGTGCCAAACTCCACTGTTATCCTCCTCATTCATCGGCGTTCTTCTTAGGACTTTAACTTTTGGGGTTCTATATGAACTATAATAAGGAGGCCGGAAGTAGAACTTTTAGGAGGGGTTCAGAAGTCAGCCAAGATTCCTAAACCCTAAACCCTAAACTCTAATCTCCAGACCACAGGGGTTTCAGCGGCTCGAGGTTCCGGGAATCCCGCAACCAGGGTGTGCACAACACCCGAACACTAAACCCCTAAACCCCTAAAGGGAACTCCAGAAAGTTGGAATATGGTTTCAGGGTAGGATACCTTATAATTTGCCATAAATGGTTTAGGATAATAATATTCCGACTTTCTGGCTTTTACCTTAAACCCCTAAACCTCCAAACCTGAATCCTTTGTCTTGTACAGCCTACACCCCTAAACCGCAAAACGTGCCATCCCCTGAGCCCTAAGACCTACACCAAAACCTAAGCCTAATCCCAAGCGTGGACGAAATTTTGTGGGGAACCCTAAAAAACTGGGTTTTATAGGGTCCAGCTAAACCCAGAACACGGAGAGCTGTCGTGAGGAGTCTTCACCAGATTTGCCGTGCCGCTGTTTTTGCTTAGAAGCGTGCCTGGCGAGAGCGCGCAGCTGTCGTAGACAGACCCGAAACCCGGTCCGCTTGGGGGGGGGTTGAGGGTCCATAGACTCTAAGCCCAAAACCTAAATGGGAGTTTCCGAAAATTAGGGGTACCTTATCTTGGGGTCCTTATAATATCCTACTATTTAGGGTACTATATTAGGGTCCCCTATTTTCGGAAACCCCCAAATCTTTCAAACAAAGCCTGAAGCCTGATCTAGCATGGTCTTTAAGCCCAAAAGCCTTAGAACCCTAAACCCTAAACCCTAAACCCTAAACCAAGCCTTAGCCCTTAGAGCCGCAGGGTTGGAGTCCAACTTTAATCAAAGGGGAAAAGGAGGGACCCTTAATGAGGACCCCTACCCTATAATGGGCTATATAATGGGTATATAGTAGCTATATTAAGGGTATATACCTGGGGGTCCTTATTAAGGGTCCCTCCTTTTACCCTTGGATTTAATCCATTGTCTATGATGTCGGCTGCGCCAGGCTTCGCACGCTTGCAAACACACTTCTTGCCAGGATTGGCCGGCTTTGTGCAGGGTTTACCTTAGGGGCCTACATAATTACCAAGTACTGCTTTGGGGGTTCTTACTGATAACTTTTTGTATACTGTACCCCACACACCCTTTTTCCAATTTATTAACAATTTAACGCCCCTATACTGCCTTTACCAACAAATATGCTTTAAGGACCTATATAAGTAAATCATAAGAAGGAACCCCAGCACGGTAGGTTCTGTAGGGTTAAGGTAAGGTTTACGAGTTTAGTAAACCCTGAACAGTTGAGGATGTTTCATCCTCGTTGGCCGGTCTGGGCAACAGAAAGACTGTTTTCCCCTATGGGTCCATGTACTTGTAGATGTGAAATAGGGCTTATGCTTGTTGCTGGGGTTTCGTTGAGTGCTGAGAGGGCTCCCTGGAAATACCTTGCTTTCACATTGGGGGGGTGGCTTTTTGTAAAGAAATGTAGAGTTTTCCAAATTAGGGTCCCTTTTGGTTTTAGGGTCCGTTCTATATAGGTGCCATACTGTTTTGGGTACCTCAAAAAGGCCCTCTTTATAGGTGAACCCCTTCAAGCCATAGTATTGGAGCTTCGGAGCTACTGGCTAAAGCACGCTACTTGGAGGTTCATGGGACTTACTAAGTAAGGTTATATGTACCCTAACTGGGATTATAACTAAGTATCAGTATAGTTACCTTGTTTATAACCCGAGCTACTAGGTCCCATGAACCTTTACTTGGTGTTCTTCTGGTTGACTCTCAGGACTTTAACTTTTTGGGTTTCTATATGAACTATAATAAGGAGGCTTTTAGAGTTTACCCATAGGCCCCGAAGTAGTTCCTTTTTGGGATTACGTAATAGGGTTCTACATATGAACCCCAAAAAGGAACTACTTTAGGGCCTTAGGGTAAAGTAGGAGCATAAAAACCTTGAGTGCGTGGACTTTTGGGGTTGATGCTAGCGGAGGGACAGCGAGCCTCCGCGCACCCCCGGCAGCTTGCGGAAACCGTTGGGCTCCAGCTGTTGGGATGTTGGTTGGGGTTAAGTAAGGGTTCCGGCTTTCAGGGTTTAGTGGGGTTTAGGGTTCAGGGTTTAGGGTTTAGGGTTTAGGGTTTGGGAGGGGTTGAGGGCTTTAATATGAACAGTTTAGGCAGTTTGGGTTTGGGATTGGTTTAGGGGTTTGAGGCTGAGAACTCGAATTTGTAGAAATTTGGCCTGTGAGGGTGTAGCTGATGCTATGAGGTTTAGGATCACACCACTAAGCCCTATAAGCCCTAAACCTAAAACTTAAGGTGTCATTAAGCTTGGTTTGGGTTTGGAGGGGTTTAGGATGGCAGAGATCAGGTCGGAGTGAGGCTTATCACGATTTCAATTGTACGGTTTAGAGGTTGCTAGGCAACACTTCCTAACCCCGATTGCGTTTGATTTGCTCTGTTTCTTTTGGGGGAGGAGTGGGGAAACAAAATGTTGTGATCAGCAGATTAGCTGAATTTGTCAAGATAGAAGGCGGCTTAGGCCACCATGCTTTGTACTTGTTTTGGAACTGACTTCTTTGACGGAGCCATGGTCGACTGAACATGTAGATGTCTTTTCCTGGTTTCTTCAAAACCCATGCGACTGAACATGGCGCACGCCAGAGATGTTGTCATAGACCGTCTATCGCAAACTCCGAATATTTGTTTTGCCCCCCTTTTTGTTTTTCACGCACGTGCATACACATCGACGCCTAATATATCCATACACTGACATACATACGTACATGCGTGCTTACATATATATATATATATATACACCTATACACATACATGCATACATATAGCTGCATATCCACATGTGCACCCCATGTATTTGCACAGAAAATGACACACTACAGACTACAGGCGCGAGGTTTTTGCATTTTGCAGAAAAACATAGCACGCGAATAGCCCAAAGCCGTGTGTTCTGCATTGGAAGCAGCCCTTTCTAAGTTACTTTATATAGTCTATACATTCTCTGATATTGTGATCAAGACTTCGTGGCGATATGGGCACGGACCAACATGCTCGGTGACACATCGAGACGTATGTATGTTTGCGTATTCATTTA